TTTTTTTTTTTTTTTTTTTTTTGTGGTTGGACTCGATGATCTCAGAGGTCCCTTCCAACCACTAAGATTCTGTGATTCTGTGGCTGTTCATCTGCCTTTGATCCCGATCCGTGTGTTCCTGACTCCAGAGCTGGAGCCCAGTTCCCACCCGTCACCGAGTCCAGTCTGGGACTTCCCCAGTGCCTGCTGGTGACATCATCCTGGGAGCTTGATACCATTTTGTGTACATATATTGTCTCTATTTCGTTATTTCCTTTTTGATTTTAATATTAATATTTCATTAAAGTAGTTTAGTTCATTCCAAACTCGTAAATCTCTTTCTCTCTTCCCCCTTTTCTCCTGGAGCGAGAAAACTGGGGGAGAGCATGTCCCCATCATAGGCCAGTTGGGCCACAACCACGACAGACACCACCTTCCTTCGCTTCCCCAGCTCAACTCCAGCCGGCAAGAGGAGGGCAGGTCCCACGGGAGGAGGTCCAAGGGAACAGGACACTGAGCAACGAGGCAGGAACCATCTGGGGACACGGAGGAGCCCCACGGGTGGCAGGGGAGCAGAGCAAAGCATCCTCTGAAGGACCACCAGGGCCAGCTCTCGGTGGGACAAGGGACTGGCTGGACTTTGAAGCTGGTGTGAAAGGAGAGACTGAGCTGGAGCCCAGCAAGGAAACCAGGGAAAAAAGCAGGAAATCCCTGGATGCACATGAAGTGCTCGTTAACACCAAGACTCACAGCTACAACGAGCCACGGACAAAGGCAAGGCGCAGGCTTGGATTTTAAGAAAAGTGTTTACTGCCTGGAACTTTGAAAAACATTCCTGAGTTACAACAACCCCCAGCAAACCGGAAAGGCCTCGCTCGCAGCGCGGCGGGATGCGGAGCTCCGAGGGGTGACAAATCTCCTAAGGACATTCTCTCAGGGGAAGCACACGCTGGGCAGGAACCAGCGAGCCAAGAGGGTTCACAGCAGAGCACCCAGCGCCGACTCTCCGGCCACCAAACCAAGTACCATAGAAGGTGCCACGCCAGACAAGCAGCAGGAGAAGGCAGCAGCACCCGCAGCCACGAGGCAGATGATGGGCCCCGTTCGGGTTGAGTGAGGGAAGAAGAGCCCATGGTGCTCATGTTGGGTGATGGCCAGAAGCACCGCAGCATCTGAGGCACCATGGACACAAGCTGGAGCTCCCGAAGTACCCACAGCACAAGGGCTGGAGGTGGAGGAACAACTGTACCATCTGGGCAGAGCGTCACCACGTGGGGAAGGCAAGAAGGAGGCTGCTGCTGCACCAGCTGGAGCACCCACACAGGGTCTCCTCAGATCTGGGGGGATGGAGAGTGGTTCCCTTTTCGTACCCCTCGCTCCATCACCCCCCACTAAGTTTTATAGTCAAACAGATTCTGTCCCACCTCTTTCCCCACCGGCACGGGGAAGGGGCTCTGCCAGCAAGAGTCCAGCTCCATCCCCTCCTCAGGAGCTCCGCTGCGCCGTACCATCCAAGATCTGCTGGGCGATGCGAGCCAAGGCGGGGAAGGCAGAGCTCTTGGGAAACTCTTGGATGAAGTCTCGGCCTTCCTCCAAGCTCTGGCTGAGTTGGGGGTCCAGGGGAACACAGCCTGTGGGGGAGGAGGAGTGGGGAGAAGTGACTGTTTGCTCACCGCAAGCAGTCCTGGAGCCAGGATTAAATAAATACCCAGCCAGAGTCATCTCCAGGAGAAAAGTAGTAGGAAAGAGGCCAACCACCCCCCTCACTGAGCTCTCCAGGAGCTACTTCTCACCAGCAACTGCACCCTCTGGGTCCAAGACTCCCCCCACACCATAGTGCTTTGTGAGAGACCCTCTCCCACCCTGATCCCACCCCTGTTTGGAGGGCAGGGTCCAGCTCTCAGCCCCCACTTCTCAGGGAGGCTCCACGGTGTTTCAGGATGGCTCTTGTGCACCTTCAGCCTTGTTTACTCCATCCCCACAGTGAGCTGCTGATCACTGCCACCTCTGCCCCAATGGGGCCAGACACCCACTCTGACCAGTTTGGATGGTGGAGAAGCAGAGCAAGAACCACACCTCACCTCTGAGCAGCTTCCAAGGGCTCACAGGGACTGGAGTCCAGGCTCCTGCCCCCGTGATCATAGAATCATAGAATCATAGAATTGCCCAGGCCGGAAGGGACCTCCAAAGGCCATCTAGTCCAACCCCCCCGCAGTCAGCAGGGACACCCCCAACTAGACCAGGTTGCCCAGGGCCTCGTCGAGCCTCTCCTTGAATATCTCCAGGGATGGGGCCTCAACCACCTCCCTGGGCAACCTGTTCCAGTGCTCCACCACCCTCACAGTGAAGAACCCTCTCCTCATCTCCAGTCTAAATCCGTTCCCCTCCAGCTTGAAGCCATTGCCCCTCGTCCTGTCACTGCAGGCCTTTCTAAACAGGCTCTCCCCAGCCTTCCTGTAGCCCCCTCAGGTACTGGAAGGCCGCTATTAGGTCTCCCCGGAGCCTCCTCTTCTCCAGGCTACACAACCCCAGCTCCCTCAGCCTGTCCTCGTAGCAGAGGTGCTCCATCCCCCTGATCATCCTTGTGGCCCTCCTCTGGACCCTCTCCATCAGGTCCATGTCCTTCTTATATTGAGGGCTCCAGACCTGCACACAATACTCCAGGTGAGGTCTCACCGGAGCAGAGTAAAGTGGCAGAATCCCCTCTCTGGACCTGCTGGCAACGCATCTTTTGATGCAGCCCAGGATGGGATTGGCCTTCTGGGCTGCAGCTGCCCACTGCCTGCTCATGTCCAGCTTCTCATCCACCAGCACCCCCAAGTCCCTTTCCTCAGGGCTGCTTTCCAATACCTCACCCCCCAGTTTGTATTGGTGGCGAGGATTGTTCCGGCCCAGGTGCAGAGCCTTGCATTTGCTCTTGTTGAACCTCATGAGGTTCACCTGGGCCCACCTCTCCAGCCTGTCCAGGTGATGCTGCATCGCTCCGCTCAAGCTCCCCCACAGCACCAGGCTCTGACCACAGAGAGCTCTGCTTCAGGAGGCCACTCACCTAGGAAGGGGACCCCGGCGTGCTTGGCCAGCTCCTCACCTCCCCCTTTGGAGAAGATGTTTGTGCACTCCTGAAGGAGGAAGGACACAAGGAGTGAGTCACAAACGCCAGAGCCCTGTGCTGCCCGCACGGGAGCGGAGCCGGTTCCCCTCCACCTTCCAGCCTCGGGGCGCCGCCTTCGCCCCTGCCCTGCCCCAGCTCTCCTTAGGAAAGCAGAGCCAGTGGCTTCTCCCAAAGCTTCTCATCTCCCCAGCTCACGGCATTCAGCCATTTTTCCACCCAAGGGTCACCAATGGGAACCTGCAATAGCCCAACGGTCCCGATGAACTCACGGCGCAGTGTGGGCAGACGAAGCCACTCATGTTCTCCACGATGCCGAGCACTCGTAGGCCTGTCTTCTTGCAGAAGGTCAGCTCTCGCCTCACATCTCCCACAGACACAGCCTGGGGGGGGGAAAAAGGGGAAGCAGGGGAGGTTAGGGGTGTCCATCTGTCCAGACGGACCGTGGGTCTGGAGCAGATGCATCGAATTGAGAAGCAGATGCGTAGAACAAGCAGCCATGGAAAGGTCTGTGCAAACACCCACCCTGGGGTGTATATTCCACCCCTCAAACCATGCCCGGAGGCAGGAGCCTGCCCAGGAACTCCAGTTCAGCCCCAGCTGGCTGCCCTACCTGGGGCGTCGTGACCAGGATTGCTCCAAGGGGCTTGTAGGGCCTCAAGGCCTCCACCGTGGAGATGTGCTCGTCGGATGTGCCTGGTGGCGTGTCCACGATGAGGAAGTCCAGGTCCCCCCAGGCCACGTCAGCAACAAATTGTTTGATCAAAGCTAACGAAATAAAAGGGGCAGAAAACAGCAACAGGTTTCAGCAGGTGCCCTGGGCCAGGTTGGGCAAGGGTCAGGAGGCACCTGAGGTGACAACGACCCAGGGAGAGAGGGCTATCTGTCACCACAGCTATCTGTCACCACAGCATGGACTGCACTCTCCCCACCCGGGTGACCTGAACCCACTCCTGCAGAACAGGAACCTTGTCTCCCTCCAAGGAACAGCCTGCCCAGAAAAGCCTGGCCCCCAGCAGGAGAAAACACCACCTCCAGGAGGGTTTGCAGAAGTTTCCTACCCCTGGAAGGTGGCTACCGACAGCCAAACATCAAGTTGGACTGAACGATCTTCAAGGTCTTAATGGTTTTAAGCTGAAAGAGGGGAGATGGAGCTGAGATGTGGGGAAGAACTTGTTTGGTGTGAGGGTGGTGAGAGCCTGGCCCAGGTTGCCCAAGAGAAGTTGTGGCTGTCCCCGCCCTGGAGGGGTTCAAGGCCAGGTTGGAGGGGGCTTGGAGCAACGTGGTGTGGTGGGAGGTGTCCCTGTCCAAGGCAGGGGGTGGCACTGGGTGGGCTTTAGGGTCCCTTCCATCCCAAACCATTCTAACGATTCTAGTGATTCTCTGATCTCCAACCTAAACCATTCTAAGATTCTAAAACCCAACTGTACCGTTTTTCTTGGGTCCTCTCCACACCACGGCATCATCTGGCTTCTCCAGCAGGAAGCCGATGGACATGAGCGAGATGCTTTTGTCTTGGTCCACAAAGACGGGGACCCAGCCGCTGTCCCCCTTCTCCTGTCTCCTGTGCCAGGGGGTGGCACTGGGTGGGCTTTAAGGTCCCTTCCATCCCAAACCATTCTAATGATTCTTTTCCAACCTAAACGATTCTATGTTTGTAAAACCCAACCGTACCGTTTTTCTTGGGTCCTCTCCACACCACGGCATCATCTGGCTTCTCCAGCAGGAAGCCGATGGACATGAGCGAGATGCTTTTGTCTTGGTCCACAAAGACGGGGACCCAGCCGCTGTCACACTGGTGCACGTCGTTATCTTGCACCCGGAACATGCGGGGAATGCTGGGGCCACACAGGTCCACGTCCAGGATCCCCACCTGTAGGTGACAACCAGAGCCCATCAGACAGGGCTGGGCACAGCGGCAGCGCCCGGCCACCCTCCTTCCCTGGGCGGGGGGAGGCAGCACCCAAATTTGGGCTCCTCACAGCACTTTATGGAACAAACTCAGAGCTCAGCAGCCTGTCTCGTTCCTCTTTGTCCCCAGCGTAATGCTGCCCTTCAGCTTACCCCCTTTGCTCCCCAAAGGGAGCCACTACACCACCGACCAAGCCATTTCTCAGCGCCTCGGCTTCAAAACCAACAACGAATCTCAGGCAACCTTCCTGTCCTTGGGTCCCACCAACCCCCTGCAGCGCTCCAGGCTGGGGGCAGAGTGGCTGGAGCTGCCGGGCAGAAAAGGACCTGGGGGTGTTGGTCGACTGTGGGCTGAACAGGAGCCAGCAGTGTGCCCAGGTGGCCAAGAAGGCCAACAGCATCCTGGCCTGGGTCAGGAACAGCGTGGGGAGTAGGGCCCGAGAAGTGATTGTCCCCCTGTCCTGGGCACTGGTGAAGTCCCACCTTGAGGGCTGTGTCCAGTTTTGGGCCCCTTCCCACAAAAAAGACATCGAGGTGCTGGAGCGGGTCCAGAGAAGGGCAACAACCTGGGCTGGTGGGAGGTGTCCCTGCCCAGGGCAGGGGGTGGAAATGGGGGCGGGCTTTAAGGTCCCTTCCATCCCAAACCATTCTAATGATTCTTTTCCAACCTAAACGATTCTATGTTTGTAAAACCCAACCGTACCGTTTTTCTTGGGTCCTCTCCACACCACGGCATCATCTGGCTTCTCCAGCAGGAAGCCGATGGACATGAGCGAGATGCTTTTGTCTTGGTCCACAAAGACGGGGACCCAGCCGCTGTCACACTGGTGCACGTCGTTATCTTGCACCCGGAACATGCGGGGAATGCTGGGGCCACACAGGTCCACGTCCAGGATCCCCACCTGTAGGTGACAACCAGAGCCCATCAGACAGGGCTGGGCACAGCGGCAGCGCCCGGCCACGCTCCTTCCCTGGGCGGGGGGAGGCAGCACCCAAATTTGGGCTCCTCACAGCACTTTATGGAACAAACTCAGAGCTCAGCAGCCTGTCTCGTTCCTCTTTGTCCCCAGCGTAACGCTGCCCTTCAGCTCACCCCCTTCACTCCCTAAAGGAGTCACTACACCACCAACCAAGCCATTTCTCAGCACCTCGGCTTCAAAACCAACAACAAATCTCAGGCAACCTTCCTGCCCTTGGGTCCCACCACCCCCCTGCAGCGCTACAGGCTGTGGGCAGAGTTGCTGGAGCTGCCTGGCAGAAAAGGACCTGGGGGTGTTGGTCAACTGTCAGCTGAACAGGAGCCAGCAGTGTGCCCAGGTGGCCAAGAAGGCCACCAGCATCCTGGCCTGGGTCAGGAACAGTGTGGGGAGTAGGGCCCGAGAGGTGATTGTCCCCCTGTACTTGGCACTGGTGAGGCCCCACCTTGAGGGCTGTGTCCAGTTTTGGGCCCCTCACCACAAAAAAGACATTGAGGGGCTGGAGCGGGTCCAGAGAAGGGCAACGGAGCTGGTGAGGGGTCTGGAGAATAAGTCTTGTGAGGAGAGGCTGAAGGAGCTGGGGGGGTTCAGCCTGGAGAAAAGGAGGCTGAGGGGAGACCTTCTCGCTCTCTCCAACACCTTGAAAGGAGGGTGTAGCCGGGGGGGGTCGGTCTCTTCTCACAAGTCACAGGCGATGGGACAAGAGGAAACGGCCTCAAGTTGCACCAGGGGAGGTTTTGGATGGATATTAGGAAAAATGTTTCCACAGAAAGGGTTATTAGGCCTTGGAATGAGCTGCCCAGGGCAGTGGTTGAGGCACCATCCCTAGAGGGATTTAAAACCCGGGTTGCCATAGTGCTTAGAGACATGGTTTAGTGATGGTTTTTATCAGAGTGAGGTTGATGGTTGGACTGGCTGATCTTAAAGGTCCCTTCCAACCCAGACAACTCTAGGATTCTAGTTTTATTCTCTTGGCTGAAGGGGAAGTGAGCTGCCGTGACCTCTTGCTGGCTCAAGCAAGCACCGAAGAAAGAAACACTTGAGCTTCCAACACAAGTGGCATTTTTTGCACAGAGGATCTCTAGGTTGCCTGCAGACGATACGTATATGTAAAGGACGAGCAAAACCCAGCCCAGGTGGAGGTCAGGCAGGAGAAGACAGAGCTCAGCACCCCGCAGAGTCTCATACAATCATAGAATTGCCCAGGCCGGAAGGGACCTCCAAAGGCCATCTAGTCCAACCCCCCCACACTCAGAAGGGACACCCCCAACTAGACCAGGTTGCCCAGGGCCTCGTCGAGCCTCTCCTTGAATATCTCCAGGGAAGGGGCCTCAACCACCTCCCTGGGCAACCTGTTCCAGTGCTCCACCACCCTCACAGTGAAGAGTCCCTTCCAACCCAGACTACTCTAGGATTCTAATTTTATTCTCTTGGCTGAAGGGGAAGTGAGCTGCCGTGACCTCTTGCTGGCTCAAGCAGGCACAGAAGAAACACTTGAGCTTCCATCACAAGTGGCATTTCTTGCACAGAGGATCTCTAGGTTGCCCGCAGAGGATACATATATGTAAAGGATGAGCAAAACCCAGCCCAGGGGGAGGTCGGGCAGGAGAAGACAGAGCTCAGCACCCCCGCAGAGTCTCATAGAATTGCCCAGGCCAGAAGGGACCTCCAAAGGCCATCTAGTCCGACCCCCCCGCAGTCAGCAGGGACACCCCCAACTAGACCAGGTTGCCCAGGGCCTCGGGCTCAAGCAAGCACCGAAGAAAGAAACACTTGAGCTTCCAACACAAGTGGCATTTTTTGCACAGAGGATCTCTAGGTTGCCTGCAGACGATACGTATATGTAAAGGACGAGCAAAACCCAGCCCAGGTGGAGGTCAGGCAGGAGAAGACAGAGCTCAGCACCCCGCAGAGTCTCATACAATCATAGAATTGCCCAGGCCGGAAGGGACCTCCAAAGGCCATCTAGTCCTGTGCCGCACCCCGGCCAGGTTGCTTCTCTCTGGGAGGAACGATAAACAAGGCATCAGAGTCTCTAATCAGCACCGTAATGAGGCACCAGAGTCTCTCCTGACGTAAGACACCACCACCTGACCCGCCAGCGCGGGGACAGGGGTCTCTAATGAGGGTGACGGGCTCCGTCTGCCCCGGTAAGGCCAGTTTGAGAGGGAAAGGAAGAAGTGGAGGCGCCACAGCAGAGAAGGGGCACTCAGAGCCAGGGCTTTGTCCCGATGACCTCAGCGCCAACCGGGCAGCAAAGCCATAAACACCCACGGGGCCTCGTCACGCCAGGCTCGGCCCCAGCCGCTCGGCCCCGGGGCTGGCGGTGAGCTCAGGCCCTTGGCGTTTCCTTCCTCCACGGTCACACCGGCCGCCTCCCCACGGCCCCACGCTCCTCTCCCGCCGGTCCTCAGCCGCTTCGGGCTCAGCCCTCACGACCCTTCCACCGGGAGCGGGTTCCCCGGCGGCGGGGGGCCTCACACCGGCCGCTCTGGCCGCCGCCGAGGAAACGGCACCCACCCGGGCCCGCGTTACCGGGCGGCCCGTCGCCACCGGGCACTGACTCACCGCAGCAGACCCGACACGACCCGACTCCAGCAGCACACCGGGACCGGCGGCATGGAGCCCGCCCGCACCATGGCGGAGCTCATCCGCACCTCCACGGACGGTAACGGCGCCCGGTAACGGGGAGTGGGGGAAGTAGAGGGGTGGGAAGGGGAGAGATGGGGAGACGGTGATACCGGCAGGTCCGCAACAGACCCGGTTACTCGGAGCTTCCCCCGGCGGCTGCCAGGCTCGGGCCTCCGGCAAGGCCCAGCGCCAACCCCCGGTAACCGGGCCCCGGCCTGGCCCGAGCACGGTGGAGCTCCCCTCACTGGGAGACAGGCCCAGCCCCCCCGGAACTCTCCCCCACGGAGCCGGGCCCGGTCACCCCGGAGTCCTGCCGCCCCACAGGAGACCAATTGCGCAGCCCAGCGGCTCCGGGGAACGACCCGACCGGCGACCCCACCGCCGCTCACCCGCCGCCTCCTCCATGCTGCTGCCCAGCACCGCCCACTTCCGCCTTCCGCCGGGCTAAAGTCCCGCCCCCGCGGACTGGCAGGCACCATCCCCAATAGCGAGCCGAGCGCTCATCGGGAACCCGCCCTCCCCAGGCTTCGCAGCCAATCCAACCTTCCGACTTCCCCCCCGCCAGCCAATGGGCTTGATGCTTTCCCCTCCGCCGTGGCCGCCCAATGGCGCGGCTCCCCGCTGATTGACGCACGGCGCAGCCAGTGGCGCCGCGCTTCCCGCAGGGCCCTCTCCCTCCCCGCCTCCTCAGCTGTGAGCGACGGGGGCTCAGCCAATGGCAGAGGGGCGTGCCGCGGAAGGAACCAATAGGCGCTGGGGAGGGGGCGGTGCCGAGAGAGGATTGTTTATGTCCCGGGAGCGGAAAGTAGGTCAGAGCGCGGCGGCGGGGCCGGGCCGCGGGGTCGCACCGGGACGGGACGGGCTGGGACCGGCAGGTGGGCCGGGACCGGGGGCTGGGGGACGGGTGGGAGCCGAGGGCCGAGGCCTGAGGCTTAGGCCCGGCTGGGCCGTGCGGCCTGAGCGTGGCGGCCGGGCCGGGCCTGGTCCGGCCGGGCCTGGCTGAGGCCGGGGGGGGGGGGGTCCGGC